TTTTTTCATGAAAAAGTGCTTCCGGTGAGCTTTTCCGGGTAGAAAGCTCACCGGAAGCACTTTTTCATGAAAAAAAGATGGCGGCGCCCAGCAAGCCGCGGCCCGGTAGGAGTTGTTCCGCGGATCGGTACCGGTCCGCGGACCGGTGGTTGGGGACCCCTGCTGTAGGGTATTTTTTGCTCATGAGAATATTAATGCATTTGTATTTATATTTAGTTTTTTCTTCTTCTTTCTAGTATGTTTTGAAGAGTAAAGGCTAAGGATTAGAGATGATATAATGTGAATGAAGTATCATATTATTTTTTGGCGGCAAAGACTTTAGCTTTTGCTGCCAAAAAATAATGTGATATCTCATTCACATTGCAATATATCAGAAGCTGCCGAGAGACTCAGCGTTGTGGAATATCTGTTAAGGAAAATAAATAAAAATATCTTCATTGTTTTTTAAAACACAGTGTATTTACTAAAATACAAATTGTTTTGACTGATCACCTCTGAAGACAATGTAGCTTTTCATACCATCTCAACAAACAATAAACATAACCCTATTAAATAAAGGAGATGGCATTTATGAGTCCCTAGAGGGGAAAGGTGAACTGACCTTGACATGTTCAGAGGCTTGCAGTGCAGAACATAAATGTCAGCAGAAAGCACTGGGTTGTTAGTTATTTAGGAGCAAGCAGTAGAGCTGAACCTACTGAGCACAGCTGAACACATCTATCTACTGAACTAATGTTCTTTTAATACATGCAACTATTTTCATAAGTATGGAAATTGTAGGTTATTGTAAGCTGGTTTGGGTGACTTTTCACATTATATTCAGATCAAATATTTAAGCATTTTACATTTCACAATTAGATTCTGTATCAAAATTTTGCAATATGTAGTGACACAATAGAATCCCTCAAAATCTATTCTTAGATATTATTGGTTCTCTGAAAACAGTTGCTGAAGGAGGAGAGATGTCTAACATAATCTGCTGCAAGATATGATTCTGTGCAACATGGTCTATTTTGAGGTCTTTGATTAGAGGTCAAGTTTATACATTTGAAGACATTTAATTTCTTTTGGCTTATTTTACTTTTCATTATACTGCATATTGGTTAACCACAGAAACAGTATATCTTCTTCTGAAGAAATATCAGGCCCTTTTATAGCATACCACAAAGACTAAGTTTATAGATTTGCTATGGTGCGTTAAACACAGCAATAGGCTATCAGTCATTTTTCTTAGTTAAAAGATTTACATAGCCACCCATTTTAAAACACAACCCTGGATAACTCACAATAACAAAACCAAGAACTATAAAACCATAAAATCTGAAACCATAAAATCAAAACAAAATTGGCAAGTCAATCATCCTCTTGGAATGCTTCATATCCAACACTCAATATTTTCATTGTCTGGGTAAAAAGCCAGGTCTTCTGAAAGACTAAAGTGTGGGGGTCTGGTGAATCTGGTGAATCATCAGAGCGTTCCATAAGGTATGGGCAATCATGGAAAAGGAATGCTTCCAGGGTCCCAATAGGTGGCAAGATTTCAGGGAAGGAACCTGAAGTGTGCCTACCTTATCTGACCTGGCTGATTTGTAGCTTCTGAGAGGTCTTCAGGGGAAGCCCCATATAAAGCACATTGCAGTAATCCAAATGGGAAGCGACTAAACGAGTGACTATGAAGAAGGTCTACCCATCCAGGAAAGAGTGCAATTGGCACACAAGGTGAAAATGCCATTTTCTGCACATTTGTTGTTATTGCAAAGTATTTAAATTATTCTAATTCAACGTGGTAGAGTCTTATTGGGCAGGCAGCAAATCAGATGGAACTTTTCAAGAATAAATGTAAATTTTGTTGAAATGTTGACCTTAGTTTGTAAAAATCAGAGTGACCTGTGAAATTTTAGTGAGTTATAAAGTAATTTCAGTAGGACCATAACAACCTTAACACTTAGTAGAATTGGGTGGGAACGTATTCTGAGTTGGTCACAGGTTATAACAACAATCTGACAATTATGTACAAATGCTATAATTACAGCAAAAAAATGGATCTATGCTTCTGAGTCTATGTTTAAAGAACAGTTTTTGCAATAATGTTTCAATTCCTTGCAACTTGCTCTTTAGCACTCTTGGATTCTACTTAATATCCTATTTTATTAATCTATTAATCTGCAAAAAGACATGCAAAGAGTTACAGTTTTGGAGTGAGTTACAGAGAATAAATTGGTACCCATTCCTGAAAAAATATACGTGAAATTAGATTTTGCACTAAAAAATATTGTTCAACTCATCATGTCATTCATTAGAGAAATAATTAATTAATTCTAGGGAATGTTGAATTTGTTTTATACATTAGCTCAGTTTCTCATTTTTCTCATTTTGATTTAAATACCAGACATTTATCAGTTTTCCTTTACAAAACAAACCTACCTGAAAAGTCCTGCACATTTTTTAAAGTACTTTTAAAAACGTAATTTTTAGTATGTTTCCTAATGTAATACATTTATCTTTTTCTAGCACATACTTTGTGCATGTTTTCCTAAAGACAAATCTTTTTGTAGCCTTTTTCTCTGAGTGTGTTTAGAAATAAGTGAAATTTCAGATTAAAATGAAATTAGGTTTTTGTTGATTCTGTTGCATAAACGTTACATGGATGTTATTACTGTAACAAAAGTTTTATTGATACCTGCAACTACATTATATATCTGAGCACAGTATGACTCGTGCAGAAACAACTTGTTACTTCCACTGATGTTACCCAACTTTTGAATTTCTTTGGGAAAAATACTGTCCAAATTTTATTTTCAGTTTGCAACTCCATTTTGATTCATTTGAAGAAATTCCTTGTACAGTTTTTCTTGTGCTTCATACATTTTCTTTAATTTCTTCATCTGTCCTTTGCTGAGTTCTTTGCCTTCTACATCATGGGTTGGAAGCCCCTAGAAAATATTCATTCAATGTAAATGAGTGAAGAGATTCAGTTTCAAATATTTATATTAATGAAATGATTATTGGGATGGTCTTGAACAAGCCATTTTTGGTCGTCTCAATTACATATGGTGGCTAATATTGGTGCTGTTATCTTTCAAAATTGCTGCATTATAAGGATTATAATTAATTACATTTGTTAAGCACTTTAAACATTTGAAATAATCACAAGGATTATTTTATGAGTACTTTTTATGAGTAATTTTCCCTCATTCCTGAATCCTGAATCAAATGTTTGTGTGTATTTTTTAAAAATTACAGTATTCTTACATTTTCATCAAATTTGGAATACTTGTCGTGCTCAGATTTAAACATCTCTCCAGGTGAAACTTTCATTTTTGCAAGTTTTACTGCCTGTAATATAAAGTAGATTTTATAATTCATGAATAAATTAATAACATAATAGTTCTTGAATTATAACAATTCATTTAAAGACCATTCAAGATTACAGTGGTATTGAAAAAACTAACATATGACTAGTCCTCACATTTATGACCATCACAGTGTCCCTGTGGTCACATGTTCAAAATTTGGATGCTTGGCACAGCATGTATTTATGACATTTGCAGTATCCTGGGGTTACATGATCACCATTTGCATCCTTCCTATAGGTTTCCGATGAGCAAAATCAATTGGGAAACCAGATTTATTTAACAACTATTTGATTTGTTTAACAATTGTGATGATTTGCTTAATGACTGCAGCAAAAAATGTCATAAAATTAGATGTGCCTCATTTAACATCTGCATAGCTTAGCGATGGAAGTTCTGGTCCTAATTTTGAGGGTAAGTTGAGGACTACCTGTACCATTCCACATTTTTGTAGCTCACATTGTAATAAACATACCCAACCTTTGGCTAAAAATAAAGTTTGATCAACACTTCAAAAACTTCAGATAGAAATAAATGTTCACATTAATATCACAAGCATACTACGTGAAAGCACAAAAGTCTTTACACTGTAGAATGACAGAGAGTGAAAACAAAATTATCTTCAAAGTCTGTAGTGACTGATATTGCTATCTACCATTCAGTTCATGATATAGGTTATTTACCTCTTGTTCTTGTTTCTTCTTAGCTGCTTCTTGTTTTTTCTTCTTCTTTTCTTCTTCAATCTAGGTGAAATCATAATAAAGAATAATTACTATTTTAAAAACAGTAAAATTATACTATATGCATATATTCCCCATCCTTCAAATCATCTATACTGGGGTAGCAATTATATAGGAAGATGCTAGAGGTGAAAGATCACACTAATGACAACAAAAATATCATCTCACATGGGAGAAGGCAATAGTAAACCAGTCCCATGTTTTTCCAAGAAAAAGTGTCTGATAATATACTGTTGGATAGTAGGCCCCTCAAGTAAGATGACAATATATGACAGAGGAAATGTTGAGGATCTTTTGGAGTGCCAATGGTGTTATGTCACAGCTAGATGTGGGATGTCTCGTCATGAAGGAAAAGCAAATCTGAAGTGGCAAAGATTGGATTGCAGGGGAATATGAACTGGAAGAAGCATGAACATGAGAAAACAACACAGTAAAATATTAAATTAGTTGACTGCACATTGTCATTTTAGAAATCAATGAATTAAAATGGATTAGAATTGGACACTTGGTCAGAATGTCACATTGATGTAGCTTTCTGGAGAAGTCTATAATGCTGGGAATGATGGAAGGAAAAAGAAGACAATCAGCTACAAGATGGATGAACAATTGTAGCAGCACACAAGGAATGGAATTGGGATGAAATTATGAGGGCATAGCCCTCATGATGTCATATGTAGATTAAGGGAGCATTTTCTTGCTCTAGCAAATATGTGTGGATTAGCCCCCAAATCCCTAGTAAAATTTGTACTCATATATAAACAAGTATAGACACCTGACTACATTTCTGTTCCTAACTCAGGTATAAGTTATGGATTATTAAAATTAAATGTATGTAAAAATAATTTGAAGAATAAAATGTAGAACCTTTTCCTTTTCTTCTCTTTCTTTTAGCAAGGTGTCTCTGTCTACCAGCTTGACCACAGTTGGAAGTCCTAGGGGAAAATAAAAAAAGATACTTTAAATGCTTTTACATGTTATTACTACAGTTCGATTGCTACTGAGGTGTTTCATATTAGCAACTGAAAAGAGAAGCCAAGACAGAGGTAAGGCAATTCTTTACCTTCATGGTCTTCAAACCGAACTCCATGCTCTGGAAGGATATCATCTCGAAGTGAATCGCAAAGCTGCAGAACTTCTAACACTACAAGGAAAATGAAAATGGTGACATTTAAGTAAAATATTTTCTCTGGTCAGCTAGACATCAAAGTAAAGGTCTTTTCTTAACGTTTCAGTGGGTTTTCTTCATGATATGATCTTGCTAAATGTTTCTATGTTGTTTTAAAGGAATAAGCATTTGAGGAAACAATGTATACCATGCAATCTGAGAAATGGAATGACTGAAACTTTACAGGAGATGCCTCATTATATATATTTGGAGTTTTTGTTTTTTTTTAGCTCTGTACAGCCTTTTCTGATTGGCAGCAATTTTTCATATCTCAGCCAAGAATCCTTCATTTCAAGAGTCAGAACTGAAGACTGAATTTGGAAACATCCATACAATTATACAATTTAACCCCCTGCATAAATAAACTTCCATTATTCCAGTGAAATTGCTAAAATTGCAATCTTAAATAGACTTCCTATCACTTAAATTCTCTCAATTCTTAACTAGTAAGTATGTTTAAAATTGCACCAAATAAAGCACAATAAAACATTATACGCTCTTTTAAAAATACATCATTGGAACTGCTTTTGTCCACAGAAGTAAAAGGTGCAGGAGCCAATAGGTGAATTGAAGTTCCTTATCTCCAAACCATATCACACTGAGATTTTGCAACAAGAGGTTTTTTTTTCTTTAAATGCTTCTCAATGTTCTGATATTATAATTTGAGGAATTTTCTTTTATCTCAGTTATCAACTAAACATTTAAAAACCAAATAAAGTCTTTGATAATAAAGTCTATACTCTCAAAGTTCCCAGTTTTGATGTTTTTGTTCAGTTAATAAAAATATTTTATTTACATATCACATAATATCCTAGTTAAATTCTTCTGGACTAAAAACAAAAGAGATCAGCAGTGCATGAATTTTGTTACAACACTAATGATTTCAAAATGAGATTTCCACATTTAAATTATTAAGCTCTGCAATGCCTAGAAGCAGGAGAAGGAAAGGAGTCATATTATGGCAGGTAATGGCATGTTATAGTTAAGATTCTTTGCCTTGATATTGTGTCTCAGCCATTAAAATATGCTTTGTGCAGCAGGCTATAGAATCTGGGCAACCCAAGCAAATACAGCCAGGGAGTGAGGAAATATGGTACGCTTCCTTTTTTTTTTCTTCATAAGTATGCTTTAAAATAATAAAATTTCATGCAATCATCAATTAACCCACCACCATGCAATAAAAATTGAGAGTTATTTCTAATAGCAAACTGAAATAAGTAAGCCTGAATGTAAATGCAGCGTATCACATTCAAAACACGCCCTCTTTGTGACTGAAAGGGCTCTTATCTATTTGCACAGTTTGCAGGAGGGACTGAATTGTTAGTTGTATGTGGAAACAAAGAAAGGATTCCCTTTTGAAAGAGTGGCATATAATTTGTATAGATGCCTATTTATAACCAGAAAAATCTCACCTTTTTTTCCCTTGGCAATTTGCCTTACCCCTTCTCTGAACTCAGATAAAACATGAAGATACGGCATTACTGTAGATTCAAGCTGCAGTATAAAAAAAAGGCATTTTAAATACCATCTTCTTCCTATGCAACTTTTATCCATTTTCTTCCAAACTAAGTGGATTTCTAGAACCGTTATCTGAATGAGGTGAATGAATGACACAAAGGAGCTCATCATACCTGAGTTTTATATAGGTAGTCCTTGACTTAATGATCACAACTGAGACACACATTTCTGTTGCTAAGCAGGACAGTTGTTAAGTGAATTTTGCCTCATTTTATGACTTCTTTTGCCACAGTTGTTAAGTGAATCACTGCAGTTGTTGAATCACAAGATTGTTACTAAGTGAATCTGATTTCCCCATTGACTTTGCTTGTCAGAAGGGAACAAAAGGTGATCACATGATCCCGAGACACTGCAACCATCATAAATGTGAGCCAGTTGCCAAACATCTGAATTTTGATCACGTGACCACAGGAACGCTGCAATGGTCGTTTTGGAAAACAGTGACAAGTCACTTTTCAGTGTCACTGGAAGTTCAAACGGTCACACTAAATGAATGGTAATAGGTCAAGGACTACCCGTTGCGCAGGTAGACAACATAATGCAAGGCACTCAGGCATGACAAAAGACTGGATATCTTTTAAATATTACATTCTTCCTTTTGGAAAAGATGAAATATATGTGACAGAGCATGGTCCAAAAGAAGAAACCCACAATGCGCACCCCCCCATCCCATTTCAAGCAATGGGTCTTATCTGTTGATAATATCTGATATCCTGTGATTGTTGGAAACGAGAATGCTGGAGAGCTCTTTCTGATGTCAACATGTTCCCCTACTGTATCTAAACAAAGCATTTGCATTATTGCCATATTCTGGCTAAACTAGTGCAAGCCTCTTGTGTCTGTAAGTACTTGGAATAAAATTGTTTATTTGAACGAGGCTCTTAACGTGAACAAAAGCAGCTTTCTCATGATTCCACTATGTATCAGTCGGATGTTACATTGATGAACAAAAGATAGTTGTACTGCCATGATATTGACAAATACTATTTTGGTATTCACTAATTTCTTCTGTGACGATTGTATCCAGGCTACAATAGATTTAAGTTTGTTTTATTGTAGCACATACCCAGGAATTTCAATTTGTGCCATTTGATTCCTTTCTGTTACTAGATCTAGTGCCATTTTCTGCACACATCTACTGGGTAAGATGGTGCATTGTAGGCTAACAATTTGTGAACCAAGGTACCACAAATGGGCTTACAGAATGCATAAAAAAATCCAGGATCCATAATTTCCAACGAATTGAAATTTATAAAACATTTCATGATATAATACAAAATGTTATAAAATATTTCCTGTCATCAACTCCTCATGTTTGACTGTGCTATATCATTCAACATGGACTATTCGCAAGGCAGAAATCTCTGAAAGTATCCCAACTTTTCAAGTTAAGGCAGTATGTTAGAAACTCTGCCATTGTTGAAGGCATTGAGGAATCTGGTAAGTAAACATCCCTGAAATAATGAGCCAATGGGTCATGGGTTGCTTGGTTGCTATCTAAAGTGTTGAATGAAGCATAACTAGTAAAAAGCACTGTGGTTTTAACAAAGTGCTCAGTCTTTTAAACAGAATACATCATCTTCCTAAACAAGTTAGAAAACATTTTCTGCCAATCTTAACCTAGAACAAAATAAGGTGAACTTCACATCTCTACCATTAGATCTGATTTGTTTTCTATTATCACTATGAATGCGTTTTTAAAAAATATCTGATTAAACAATGGGAGGAGAAAAAATACAATTTTACCCAAGGTTGTATAATACAAGCCTGCTATTTCAAAGAATAATATATGTGTGTGTGTCTATGTATGTGTACATTCTCTTCTATCAATTATATCTTTCATATTCCTTTCTTTTAAAAATTAATATCCATTGGTTGCTATTTCCTGTTAAATGGCAGGAAGAACTTCCTCTCCTGTGTGTCTGTGTGTGTGTAACAAAACAAAAAGGAGGATAAAATACACTATTATTCCTACTATTATTACCACCACCACCACAATGTTTCTTAAAAGCTTGCTTCAATGTCTAGTCCAATCTTTAAAAACCATGAATAGCTACAAGATCAGCAAAATATGCTTTCCACTTACATTTAACGCATGAGCATTTCTTCCAACTGGGAAACCAATTCCTTCCTCACTTTCTATTGCGCCGAAGACCTGTGCAAAGGAAATTTATACAAATCTGAACATACAGATTCACGCTTATTGGAAGGTAGTTTTTAAGTGTTAGAAATGTCTATCAAAAATAATGTGAATGAAATTTGAGTTACCATGCCTGGTTCCATATTCCACACATACAGTGGAATAATAATATAAATTCTTGTAGATAGATGTCAACTATTTGGTAGAGTCAGATGGCATTATCTTTATCTATTTCTTTTCTCCTCTATAGCAGTGATCCCCAACCTTTTTTATGCCGCGGCCCGGTACCGGCATCAGCTGGGCGCCGCGGCCCGGTACCAGCACCAGGTGGGCGCCGCCATCTTTTTTTGATGAAAAAGTGCTTCCGGTGACCTCACCGGAAGCACTTTTTCATCAAAAAAGATGGTGGCGCCAGCGCTTCTGGTGAGCTTTTCCGGGTAGAAATGGCCTTCTACTCGGAAAAGCTCACCGGAAGCGCTGGCGCCGCCATCTTTTTTTCATGAAAAAGTGCTTCCAGTGAGCTTTCTACCCGGAAAAGCTCACCGGAAGCACTTTTTCGTCAAAAAAAGATGGCGGCGCCCAGCAACCAGCGGCCCGGTAGGAGTTGTTCCGCGGACCGGTCCCGGTCCCCGGACCGGTGGTTGGGGACCCCTGCTCTATAGGCTTTTCCCAAGAAAAGCTCCTGCAGAGGACTGGATATCCTTTCTTCAAGCAGGAACTTCTCCAAGAAGGGAGAAGAAGGCTGTGTTCTAAAGCACCTTTGGGCAGGATGCAAATTTTAATTGCTCCTGAAATAGTATTGCCTATTGATTGTCAAGATTAATACATTAATTACTTATGCATTTAACCTTATTACTGAATTAATAAAATATAGACTGCTCCAAGACAGTTTTTGGTTACAGCATCATAAAATATTTGGTAAGTAAGTAAGTATGGAAGGAAATAGGCATGTAAGTAAGCAAGCAAGCAGTATTAATGAACCTCAAGGCATTTATTTCTAGAAAGCAGACTTTTTTAGTCATTCAAACCCCAAAACTCATATTTCATTTCATATAAGTAATTGCCAATTGTATTCTAAACCAGAACAAATCAAATCAAATCAAAAGTTCTAATCCAAATAATAAAAAACCTAACCATTAACATACATCTTTAATAAACAATACATGGCCAAATTTGAAAACTTTCTTCAAAATCCCATACCTTAAATATGTGGGTAAGATAAATGCTTATATTTTCTAGCAACATTCTATTTGGCATCTGTCGGGAAGTTTTCTTTGCAGCAATGTAGGAATTACATTGACTGACCAATGATCGCAGCTCTTCCAAGACTGTACGTGTATCAATATTATCACACAATGCTTCATGGACAGCTTTTTTCTTATCATAAAAACTAGGCAAGAAAAGAAATTAAGACAAAAAAAATATTTACATCACCCTTTAAACCATTTGAATGAAAAAAAATTGGTACTAACTGAAGAAAAATCAACTGGAAGCTTAATCTAAAAGCATTTCTCCCAACTAGAAGTATATGTATTAAATTAGAAAATATTGAATGTTACACATTACATTTTTTAAAAAAGCTAATTTCTTTTGTACATCAGTGGATCTGATCAAGAAAGAGATCCTGAGTCTATGATGGATATCAGTCAATGAAATCAACTTTGTCTGAAGCAACTGTGAAAAAAGATAAATTCCATGTAAAGGATCATTAGAAAAGGGAGATAAATAAAACTGACAATACTATTATGTCTTATAAAAATGTATCGTGTAATCATTTTTAAAATATTGTGACTGTTTTGATTGCAAAAATCTCAGAAGGGACACTATAAAAACTGGAGAATGCAGAAAGGAGAAACTAGTATTATCAAGAAGCTAAGCAGCTCCCCTATGTGGAAATATTAAAATATTTTCGCCTATTTAGTTTAGAAAAAAATGTGATGGTATGAAATGGAGGCATGTAGAATTATGTATGGGTGGAGATAATTTACAGAAAGGAAATTATCTTATTTTCTCACACCTAGTACTTAGAATAATCCAATACAAATAAATGGAAGATTCACTAAACAAACACAAAAATATTTCTTCAAATGCATATCTTAAATGTGGGATTAGCTTCCTTATATGATGCTGATTATTATCAACCTAGATTACTTGAAAGAACAATAAATTATATAATATCCATATTCTGCCTTTAGGATCAAACATAGCATTCAATACTACTTTTATGAAATAACATGGAGGAAGCTATTGCATCCATGCCCTTCTTAAACCTGAGATCTTCATAGATATCTAATTGGCTACTGAAAAATCTGGAAGCCTGACTCGATAGGCCTTTATCTTCTCTAGCAATATTTTGTGGTTCTCAGTATTTGCTTGTTAGGGTCAAAGATAGTCAGTCTGGTGTAGTTAGAAACCAGGAGACACAAAGCAGCTGGGTGATCTTGGGCCAGTCACTCTCAGCCCTAGGAAGGAGGCAACGGCAAACCATTTCCATATTTTGCAATTTTGCCAAAAAAAAAGCCGCAGGGAGTGGTCGCCAAGAGTCAACACTGACTTTAAGGGTTTTCTTAAGATGGGGAGGGGAAGAGAGAGAGAGAAAGAATCCAGAGGGCTGACATTGGGAACTCTATCACACACATACTCAACTATGTTTAGATGTTAGATACATTAGAGATGCTTTGCCGATTCTAGTCCAATGACCTGCTCCAGCAGGGTTAGAAGGGAGTGTGTGTGTGTGTGTGTGTGTGTGTGTGTGTGTGTGCATGGCTGTCCAAACTCCAAAAACAAGTCAAGTAGTACTGGGGAGGCCAGTCATAAATTAGAACACTTGCTAAGCAACTGGCCATTAAGTGAGGACCACTTGTATTTGGTTTGCCAGTCACCAAACCACACCCATCCAATCACGTGACCAGCAAGCCACACCCACCCAGTCACACAACCAGCAAACTACACCCTCAAATTAGGCCAGGCCCACAAAATTTGAATCCCGCCCCTGGGTGGGGGGCATTGAGGATGAGTTTGTAGCACCAAGGGGGCGGTGGACTGAAAAAGTTTGGGAACCACTGGGTTAGGCAAATCATTTGCAGCTGTTCTGCAGCCAGCTTGAAAGATTCAGGGTGAAGTACAACATTTCCATAAGATATTGAGCGAGCCAAAGTGATATAATGCAATGGTGAAGAAATCTTCCGGCTTGGAGGTTGCATGGGGCATGGCAGTGACAATGGAACATCACTGAAACAACCTCTTCAGAGTTCCCCCCCACCCCTTGGGGTGAAAGGATAATTTTTAAGGGACAACCAGAGCTGCCCTCAACTCTGCTTCTTCCCTTGAAAACGAGAATATTGCAACTTTTTGGCCTGGAATCATGCACTTTGCATTCCTATGTGCTCCTGGTGGGTGTGGCGTTTGGTATTCCAGTTCCATAGAATGGGGGGCCCTTGAAGGCAGCACTCAGAACTGTGGATTCCATGAATAGTAAGACGCAGCTTATGTTGTTTTACTAGGTTCCTCAGGAGGAAAAACATTTCCCACCCTAGAATTAAAGTAACTGATATTATACGGAAATGCTGCACTACGGTAGAGTTACCATGCCTTGTAATACTAACTTTTATTTGTGATATATAGTTTTATCAGAACGTTCCTTTTAGAATTTTGTTGTAAAAACCAAAACATGACTGAAGATTTGTGCAAAATAGCATTTTTACTTTATTTAGATCTCCTCTTATGTTTATTGTGAAAGGATTAAAAACCTTTTAGCAGCATCTAGAAATGTCAGTCCTTGTAATTGTAATCTTGAGTTTGTATCTATTTTGGTTTCTGAAAAGAATTGTTTGAGGGAGAGAAGGCATCTCTGCACAAACAGATTTATGAAGAATCCTAAGGTATAAATTATGGTTAGAACAGGGGAATTACAATGAGGGGCCAGAATGGAAAAAATGAAAAAAGCCTAGTAAAAATAAAGATAACATATTACAACATTGCATGTAACTGCCCTACCAAGCCAATGGATACAGATGGTCCTCTTTTAACAACCACCAGCTCAACAACTGTTCAAAATTATGATGGTGCGTGGTAGTTACATGAGTGGTAGTTACAACCAATCCTTGAGTTTTAATTGTTGCAGTGTTCCTCATCTCCCGCTGGTTCACAATCTGGGCACTGATTATGATGTTTCAATAAATCAGTCACATGGTAGCAATTTTTGATGTTCCCAGATGGCTTCCCACAAGCCAAGCTAATGGAGAAGCAGATAGGAAGTTGGAAGTCGCAATCACACAAGATCCTCACTTAACGACCTGAATGGTCCTTGTTTAAAGACAGCAACCAAGATTGCTGGAACTACAGTCACATGACATTGCTCTTTATGACTGTGTTATTTAGCCGTGGCAATTCCACTCTGAATTGCTGTCATAACCTGAGAGTTACCTGTATAGCATTCTTGAGTCATAAGCCAAATTACAAAAACTTCTAAAAGATAGCCTTATTACCTAGCATTAATTTAGATCTAACACTAACCCATGATTTGTTCTGGCATGCTAGAATATTGTCTGAATTGTACATTTGAGATAGATCTTGATTCTGGTAGATAAAAGCAAGCTGGCTTTAAATAGTAGGTTTTGAAACTGGATAGTCTCATTGGCGATATAGATTAGATCGGGGTCCCCAACCCCTGATCCGTGGACTGGTCCATGCCATACCAGAAACCTGACCACCAAACAAGCAAAGCCCCATCCACGGGATGAAGGCAGCATGCAAAACTATGCCCCCTCTGGTCCAGGGAAAACCTCTCTCCACAGACCCAGTCCTTGGTGCCCAAAAAGGTTGGGGGCTTCTGGATTAGTCACAGTTTTCCAGGTTTGGACGTACAGCAGTTGGGTTAATCAAAAACAGGAGAAGAAGCCTTCTGTCTTATCAGAGCATGGGAAAAGAAGGAAGAAGTTTACAAATCTGGAGAGCAAGACTACGATTGTTCCTATCATGGTAAACCATGGTTATTATATCCAAACACCATGAGGGTTCCTGAACAAAAATGTTTCAATCTGCATTGTGCAATCCTACTTCAGATAGTTTTATCTGATAAAGAATGAATGCCTCTTGAGAATGCGTGTGTCCAACTCTGGAGGCCAAAACAAGTTTAATATCTTTGTGACCAATATTTAAAAAAAAAAAGTAATCTGGAAGCCAGCCAAGAGTGGAACAGAGTTCGAGGAATCCAAGGTGAGGCTTCAATGTACTTTGCTCTTCAGGAGGCTAAAATAACTATGAAATATAAAACTTTCACCTGCATAGTGAAAACAGCTGAGAGTCAATTTGGGGATTCAGCATCTGAATTACTTTTAGCATTGGTTTTGTGCCTCTAGCAGACTGTGGCAAATGGCCAATGGTTGTAATTTTCACCATGCTTATGGGGGGGGGGGGGAGAAAGCCACTGCTTTTGCAGCAGACCCTAAAACAACTAATCACCACAGAATAATTCATTCTGAAAGAAGGGAAAAGGGAAGTCCCTGAACATAGTACCCAGATGACAGCAAGGTTAATTTTTTTTTATTTTTTTTTGCCTTGCTGAAAGAAAAGTGAGGCATTTGAATGAGTGGGGGTCTTCTACCTAAATTTGGATTTGCTGGTCTAGGACAGGGCCTCAAACTCAAATTGATACAAAGACTGCACGAGGCCTAGTTTGCTCACCTAAAGCTTGTCATACTGAAACCTTATAGTGCATAGATACAAAAATATTTAAAAATGACAAATATTATTTTTATTAAATAAAAAGTACTGTGTTATGCAAAACACGGCTGCTGCTGAACAACTGTTTCTACCAAAGGAGCAATTAACAAGCATATTGATCTAGATCCAGCATATGAATATAAGAAACCAGACCATTTGAACAACCAATCCACAAAAGAACCAATCAGCTGCTCAGAATTTACATAGAGCTCCAAATGAACATCCAGCCCTTTGCTCTGCCTCCTAGCCCTTCCTCCCAAGTGAAGCTATGCCTCCCCACTGCCCGTGTCCAGAGAGCCTCAGAAGCAGTTTCAGCCCAGAGCATCAGGGTGGACAACGGTTCCCAGAGTGGCCCTGTTTGGTATGAAAGGCCATCAAGTGCACAGCCCAGCCAATCAGGCTCTGCTAGTCCTAAAAATCAGCCAAGATGAACTATTATAGTGCCGCCGCTGCCACGTCATTCTTCTCTTTGTAATGCTTCCTGTGGCTCAGCTTGTGTAGCGCACAGCCACCAGACCTTGGTGGACTGTGATGACTTCAGCAACCACAAAGTGTTTGAAAACTGCAGTCAAAGGAAAATGATCTGGACGATTCTGGCCAGTTGGTTGCATGCGTGAGACCCCTGATCTAGGGTCTTCTCCCACTTCTTTGGATGGCCTTCCCTTGTTTCTTTTATCAAATCAAGGAAAGAATGGGCCAGAAGATGAAAAATAATGTTTAAATCTAAAGGTCATAACCAGGTGTTTTTTTTTTTAATCAGGAAAAACAGCTCTCTTGAAAAGCTTATGAAAGGGACCTTAGTTCATTTTCCTACTTATGGATTTTATGGTAGCATTTATTTTACATTCTAGGCAATAACAAATAATGAAATGGTAGCATACTTTCACCCAAAAAAACCTGACGGCGAAATGTACAAACGTAGACTGGCATGTAGGTAACTATGCCACGCACTAAACAGAAGATAAAATCAGTTAAGAAGGTATGTGCAAGGACCTGGGATTGGTGCTATGAATGGCCTGGTTTGGTATGTGAATTAACAAGTAATTAAGTTTCAAGGAGGAAGTCTTTAAGGAATGCACTCTGTCTGCTCTAAATGGAAATGCCAGTTTGAAAAACAGGCATTGACACAGATATACAGAGGTCTGTTCATAAAGAGAGAAAGAAAAACGGTTAGCTCACCTTTTATTCAATTCGATTTCCTCCTTTTCCCATTTTTCATACTGGCTTGTCACACCAGCAGGACCCCGAAGGATATCCTTTACATTTAAAAAGAACTCCTAAAAAGGGAAAGGAAAGAGCCCACAATTTGTTACAAAGTATACTGTTCAGATAGTTATTTCCATACTCATTTTTGGTTTAAAACAGGACTAACCCAGTAAGAAGAGCAGAATTTCATCACCTGCTATCAGGCTGTGTGTATGTGTGTTGTCCTTACAAATGTATTTGCAGAACATAGTGGAACACATTAGCAAAAAGACTATTGAGTTCATCAAAGTTAAGAACCTGCCAGAAAGAAAGATGATCTGAAAGAGTTTTACTTCTTTCCCTACCTTCATCTTGCTTTGTATATTGATTTAAATTGTATATTGTCATGCTAACAATGAACTAAGAAAACAGGCCTTTGCAAAAAAAAAATTAATTTCTAATTAGTCTTTTAAGGAAATACCTCTTCACTATAATACAGATTAATCTTGGAGGATATTGTCACTTGAATTAACCCGGCAAGTTAAGTAGCAACCAGCAAGTTTTCAATCTATGGCAGGGAAAAGGAAGTCGATAGGATTCTCCTTGGTTTCTTCCAATAATTAATCAGTCCTAGTTGCTTCTACAAAATATTGCTGTCATTACCTATTGTTCATGACACTGGCATGAGGGTGAGGTTAGGGAAAGTGATGACATGTGGTGTCCTTTTTTTCATAATCATTGCTAGTAGTGCAGGTAGGTTAACAATAGTAATTGGGTCCAGAATTTCCACGGCTCAGCAATGTAGTTGCAAAGCACAACATCATGCAATTGTGCCACTTAGCTGTGGCAGTCCCAGCACTTCTGATTGCTGTCATTGAGTACAGTGTCAAGTACAGTGACACTGTACT